ACATTTAAGGTTGATTCAGCTTCTAGCCTTTTTAAGTATTTTAAACACTAAAACATTGCTTAAAACAAATGCAATAAAATTAAGTTGAGCCAACTAATATTTCTAAAATTACTCAAATCAGATAAACTTACTTTTTTTGTTAAACTTAACTTACTTATACATTGCTAAATGTTGCCTGTACATATTTTAATTAAGTATTAAGAACTTTATGATCTAAATAAAATTACCCGTGCATATGTCATTTAAAATGAATTCAACTGACTTCTGGCTGTAACCTCAGAAAATAAATCTTCATTTCTATATTGTAAGCACAATATACACTGATTAAGTAAAAACAGATAAACATCTAAGGAAACTCAGTAAGGAGATTTGCATATTTTGATGAAGATTTAGGATGCATAATGTCCAGTCCCACAAAGAGTCTCTGATATATCTGAAATGTATACAGTTTTGATGGATACTTGAAGTCGAGGACATCTGTAAGTCCAAACAGGAGCCATCATGCATTTGACAGGTTTGGCAAACCTCTGACAGTCCTATGATAATCCAAATTGTGTTGGGCTGATGGCAAATTTTTCAGGTGGGCAGCCGCATGCACCTCTGATTCCTCACAACTCTATTGGTGGAGACAAAAAAGAAACAGGAGTTCACGTGGTTGATACCAAACAACATTAAATAGCTAAATACTAAATAGGAAATAACGACAAGTGAAGTTACAAAAGTGCAGTAAGAATGATGCATGGATCAAACACCTTAGTTTATCAGTTAAAATTACCTTAGTAAAACTTCTATTTAAAAAAAAAAAGGTTACACAGGTTATTGTGTACTTACATTATTCCAGGTGTTTTTAATTATCAAATGCTTAAGAAAACTGTGATTTTACTCAGTGTAACAGTGTGTGTCATTGTGGTTGCCTGTCAATCAAAGAATTCTAAAAATGTAGGTATTACATTTTTTGTTTATTTTGGCAACTTATAAAGCATTAAAATGTGTATGTAATTTATATATTAAAACTGTTTGAAAATGGCTATATGAAAATTATAGAATACAAATTCTATAATTTAATTGTCATCTTCATTTTGCACCAAACTATACACGTCATAATACAAAAAAGCTACATTTAATTGACTTTTTCTCCAAATTTTATGTGACTGGCAAATGACAGTTCAGTGATTCAGTGTTATCAGTTAGCTTTATTGAAAGACTGACATATAATAAGAAACTGCATTAGGATATTTTTACTGTTTTTACTGTTGCACACATAAAAAAAAAATCTTCAGATATCAAATGTAATTCTATGGAGCTCACTATTGTTTGCAATTTTACCAATGTTTTACTAACCTGCAAATAATTATAGCTGTAATTGTATCTAATGTTTTTCTTACCTGGATGTGAAGTTTGAAGATCCACAGGTAACAAAATCACTTTGGTATCTAAAGACCAAGAAAATGCATTTTAGAATGAGGTGCATACAATTTAAATGGTTCTGTAAACATCAGTAGTAAATGTAATTTAAGTTCAAATAAATTGTAAATCTGTAATTTATTCACTATGCAGCATTAAAAAAAAACTTATGGACCAATCTAAAACACAAACTTTAAGTTATACTTTCTCTTACATTAAACACGAACTACCTAACTGTTGCATACATTTCTGCATTTAATATCCATCTTTAATGTGCTGCTAATAACTTAGGTGAGCTAACTTTAGCTAACTCCGACATAGAGGTAAAGTTGGTTTTATATTTGCACATTCGCACTTACGCTCACCTAATTAGAATTAGAAATCTAATTAGGTGAATTTCTAATTAGAAAACTATTGTTTGCGAATTTCAAATAGCGAAATCACACTAGCAGACAACTATTATCAAACTACAACAGCGTTCATGGTCAAAGAAATCATGCAAGTGTTGTTTGAAGTGTTACTTACATGCGATTTCAGACCGAATATTCAATATCGCGTGAAAAACAACAAAGGGACCGTGTCACAAGTTCTCAGGTTGTTGAAAAACGAACAAAAGCAATTTCAGCCAACAACCATAACGGTACACATCACTTACATTTTGCATTACAATGACATGTTTTTATTGACCGCCCACCAGTGACCTTGTTAATTGGTTCTGTAACGTTAGTTATACCTACTAAGTGTTTTAAAACTACTTTCACTATTTTTTCTCAATAATATCACTTTTAATCGTTAGCATAAAATAGCGTTGGTTAGCGTTAGCCAACTTAGCTTTCCATGTGAGAGCAGTCTAACTGTTAACATACCTGAGGCTACAGTACAATTTACAAAGCTAAAACCTCACCTGCCTAGCGAAGTCAGCAGTTTTGCATGACTTTACAATTATCATTCGGCTACATTTGCAACTTACCGTATTAATCAGATCCGCTGCTGGGAGCAGTTAATGTCGACCATTGCAGAAGCTGTGTCTGCCTGCAAAATCCCGGGCAATAAAAAAGGAGTCACGCCAAACTATTAAAATCACGTTTTATGAACATACCTGCCACATCGACAGCTGCTCTAATAAATTGTCTGTGTCAACTCACTTTTATAACATTTATTCTACACAATAACCAGGTACACAAATCTACTCAAATAAATTGCATAGTTTTATTAAAAAAATACAGTTATATAAAACCTGATATATTTTAAGTAAAGAGGAAGCAAATTTATATTTTTTGGTATAAAACAAATAAAATTACCTAGATTGCAATTGTTTAAAGTAGATAAAACCAACTTTGTGAGTGTAGCACTTTTTACAGTGTGTTTGTATATATGCATTTCCTGTAAAAAAAAAAAAAAAAAAAAGTGCATTACTAACTCTTGTTAATGACTAAAATTTGTAAAATGTGCGAAACATATTTGTATGTAATTTGATAATTATGTACCCTCTCCTCTATTTTTTTTCTTTCTCTTCTCCTTCACTTTTTTTCCACTTATTTAATTCTTGTTAAGAAATGTAAAGTGATTGTATTGTATTGTATAAGAAAACTGTACATGCTGGTTCTTGTTTATAAAAAAAATAATAAAAACAATATTAAATAAATATTAAAAAAAGCAGGTGAGGATGGTTTTGATATAGTTAATCTCATCAGACTAATTCTTATATTTTCTTTTGGCTTTTCATGCTATAAAAAGTGAGATTAACACAATGAATTATTGCAGCCAAAATAAAAACTATAGTGTCAGAACAAATAGTTGAAAAGCCCAACTAAAGCAGACTCTGTCCTCCATCATGGTGACTTCAAATGAACAACAGAAAGAGCTTTTGTTCACATCACAGAAATAAAGTCAAAGGTCAATAATAAGTGAAGCTCCTGATGTTTGTGGAGCTGTTTAATGATCTCTGCTGAGATCTTGAGAAATTACATTTGTATTGTGTAATTTGTTTTATTATTTATTAATTATTATTTTATTTTATTTATGTATTTTGTAATGTATTTTTACCAGAAATATTCAGTAGACTGAATTTACGAATGTAATATGTTAAAAACAGTAGATTACTGGCAACCACAGCTGCCGGTATTTTACCGTAAAATCAAGGGAAAAAAAACAACAGCAAAATCCTGTAAAACGGTTTTTGTGTCACCATTGTGGAGGATAGTAGCGTCTGTGTACAAGTCCAAAATGAACTAAGAGTATTTGATGTTATGCTGGATCTTCTATTGTTTGAAGGTAACTGTGTAGTTACTAATGCAGTGAAAATCTGTTTGCTAATTACAATCACACATGAACACATTAATGCATTTAATGACTTTACATTTTTATGCACTAAGCTACATTTTTGTGAACTGAACATTGTATTAGTTCATGAAATACGGTTATTTTCTGTAAATTTAAACAGTTCTATAAACTTCTATATTTTTTACTGAAAAATTCTGGCAACCACAGCTGGTGGTATTTTTCGGTAAATTTAGCAGATTTTTTTTTAACAGTGTACCCTTTAGGTACTAAAATATTAATTTCATTTTCTTGTCGACCACCAAATTATCCAACAAGTTTTTATGCAGCGGATGCCCTTCCAGCCGCAACCCATCTCTGGGAAACATCCACACACACATTCATACACACACACACACACTTATACACTACGGACAATTTAGCCTACCCAATTCACCTGTATCACATGTCTTTGGACTGTGGGGGAAACCGGAGCACCCGGAGGAAACCCACGCGAATGCAGGGAGAACATGCAAATTCCACACAGAAATGCCAACTGAGCCGAGGCTCGAACCAGCGACCTTCTTGCTGTGAGGTGACAGCACTACTGCGCCACTGCTTCGCCCGTACTAAAATATAATTTTGTTTATTAAACCACCATTTCTGACAGTGTATGATAGCAGCCATTCCCAATATTCTCATTAATAGATTTACTAGTGAAGGAATAATTATATAATTCACAGGAGCCATACACACGACACACGCTACTATATGTGTGATGTAATTCAGTGCAAGAGACTATTCTTTTTCCAATTAAATGCAACATTATTTTAAATAGCCAATTACAGCATATGCACAGGAATAAGAAACTTGCCCAACAAGCATTTTATTTGTGTGTATAAAATATGTCTAAACAGAGACGGCTTGGCAGAAACAAGGCTAAATATGGGCTGTCAGTAAAAATCGAATAGATAAAAACCTAAAACTTGTCATCAAATACACATGAATGAATGACTACACATCTAATTACTGATCTAGTTTTGGGCTATTCTTAGATGTCCATTAGATTTTCACTGACAGGCCAGATTTGAAATTTAGATTTCGTAAAACCCTTTTTTTTCCCAATATGTAGGATGTAGTGGAAATAACACTGCATGTGGTAAAACATTTATTTACTTTTAAGAATAAAGTTATGTTATTTTGGAAACACACACATATATAACTTAAGTTAACCATTGTAAAAAAGGCAAAGACTTTATTTTGTGAAAGTACAAATCACTAATAGGACTGTAACTGAAGAAACACCAACACCTTGCGAACAATAATACTTTACTCACCATAGACAGTAAAGTTGAATGTGAAGAGTGAGTTGTCGTGTACGTTGGTCAGATTATAAAGTCCAGAGTCTGTGCTTCTGCTGTTTGTGATGGTCAGAGAACCAGTCTGATTGTCCATCTTCAGTCGCCCTTTGAATCTCCCGTCAGCAGTATCATTATAGAATATGCTCGTATTATTCTTTCTGAAGAGTTTAGCTATGAGAGTTTTATTATTTCCAAATCGCCACGTGATCTCATCATTTTTCGGTTCTTCTGTAACATTGATGGTAGAGAAACAGAATCTC